AAAGCATCTCTGGACTTCACTGTTATTGAGAACCAATTAATCTTCTCTAAAATGTTACAAATTAAACTATGTGTGGGGGTGGGGGAAGAAACAAAATCAACTGGGGATTGGAACCTGATAATAGCTGAGAACTGAGATGGCAAAAGCAGGCTACTGACTCTTGCCATCTCCCAAGCGTGGCTACTGTCTGCCATATGCCTCTGCAAAATGCCTGGTGGGCAAGTACTTACATTCTAAGGGGATCTGCTCTCCTATCAAGGTGTAGCACTGTTTTTACACGTCTTGCCCACTTTCGGAATCAGGGGGTCACCTGCAGTCCTCCTTTCCATGCTCTCCCTCTCAGTTGATAAGAAGTCTTCTCCCCTGGCCTCACCCCCAAAGTCTGAGGAATGAGTTCAGATTGCCGACCCACCGAAAATCTCTATGTATTATACAGGGAGGCTAGCATGCTCATGACTGATGCCCTTTTCATATGAGCACAACAATTACATGTCCCTATGTTTTCTTCAACCGATTAACCGAAGGCCCTTTCTGTAACTACCTCTGCAAAATGGAAACCAATTAAAGTTTTTTTTTTTTTCTTTTTCTAACAAGGATTTCTCTCTAGTTCATCTCACCCATCGTCCTCCCAGAGTTTCCTTTTGTAAGGTGATTGGGACACTAAGAACTTAAGAGTTGCCAAACTAGAAATTAACAATGAGCCATCTGTTCTCTGACAATGGCCAGTCATGGCTATGCTGACCTCTCTGTGAGATGCTTTGGGGAAGGACCGCTGTTTGCTTTCTCACCCCAGCCATTGATAATTTTATGTCCTGAAGCAGGAGGATGGCTCGCTTTGTGTAACCCTTGCCTTTGCTAATGTGTCTGGATGTTGTTTCACCATGCAAACATCCAATCCCTTTCTAAAACCTCCTGAGCTGCTTGACTCTATCCTGCTGCAGGAAGTTAGAACCTTCTGTGCTGTAGCTGGAAACCAGCTATTATATTCCAGACTAATAGCCATGTACTGAAAACTAGAGCCTGCTTGTTTGCTGAATACCAGCAGAGGCTGTGGACTCCTAGGCTGCTCAGCACAGATCTGGGGAAGGAGATACAGCTCATGTACAGGTTGTACACACCTTCCCCTTCCCTCCTGACCAGGAGCTTGCAATCATGTTAACTTCTAAGGAGCTGCTTTGGTGAGCAGGAGGGGCAGAGAGAAACTAAGCTGGATTTGGGGTACAGTAGAATTTCCCACTTGTGGTCTAAGGTCCCAACAAAGATGTAGTTTGGGATGCAGAGTGTTCACATCTGAGCCTGTTGGCACGACTAGCAGTACCATCCAGACAGGGATCGCTATAGAGAGACGAGGAATTTCCCTTCCTTTTCCCCCATACAGCTGTGCTTGCTGTTGCCTCAGCACTCCCAGTCTCGCTACTGCTGTAGGGAATCAAGGGCTTATAGTTTAAGATCAGAACTTTGATTACTGGGTATGTAGCTCCATGTTCTGGCAGCTGTGAAAGAGTTAAACTGCCTTATCTAGTGGTTCTCATCCATTGGTCGAGTGAAGGAAGAGGGTTGCTTTTCTCCTTGGCCTTGTCTACACAGGCAACTTTGGAGAAGACTTCTACTGCCACTAGTGTGTGTAGCCTAGGTCAGTGGCAGTGCCAGACCGCAAGGATGGGAGATTGCCCTAAAACTGCTAGTGTAGATGAGGCCCTCCCTTGTGAAGCAGAGCAAGAGATACAGAAGGGTAGCACTGCAGTGAAGATTCAGTCTTTCTTATGTGATTACTTGTCTTGTGTTCATTAGTTTCTAATCCCCCAGACAGGGACCCTAGAAAAGACAGGCTCTCTGAAACAGATTCTGTGTGATGAGAACTGTGAGGTTAATTGCAGGGTACTTTAAAAAAAAAAAAATTAAAACTCATTGAAATGAGTAGAAAGTGCTTGCCTTGACAGCTGTGAAGATCAAAGTCCTTTCTTTAAGCCCAGAACCGGTTCAGCAAGGGCACTGGCAGGACAAGCTTCCCCCACATGCTGCCCTCCTGTTGTGCCGCAGCCCTGCCCTGGAGGGGCCTCTGGCAGGACTTCAGAAAGTAGTTCTGTCTCAAATGGCCTAATTCAGAGGTTCCCAAACTGATCTGTGGGATGGTTGGTGGGTGTCTGCAGAGAACAGTGTGGTCTTATAATGGCACTCATCACTATAGTAGTTGAACAACTAGGAGGCACACTGCTAAACTGAATTAAAGGAAGCTAAATATGCATGCCTGGTATTCCTTTTCCACATATGTCATTGCTGTAATTACCACAGGGATGCTATGCTTCTGTAAATGGAAGAGGAGGTTTCTGCAAGAAAATCCCTGTATTTACAATCTCCACACTAGAAAAAACTGGAGAATTCCTGGCCTATTCAATACTTAGCCTCTCTGCTCACAGTGCTAATGAGGTGTTTATAGTGTTCTGGGACATGGACACATATCCTGAGTCCTCTTTCCCCACTCCCCCCTACATGCACAATGTCACCTCATTTCATATCAGTTACCAAAAAGGGGTCATAACTTTTGGTTACAAATAAGCTGGGACAGGGTCATATTGGACCGGTAAATGGCTCTAAAACCCAGCCCTAGTCCCGTGAATCATTTGGTCCACTGCTTGACAGCCCCTCTGAACCTGAAATGTTGCTGCCTTTAAAAATTGGATGTTGGCAAATGTCTGGATTGTATTAGTGTGCTCTCTCTCTGAGTGTTGGCTACAGGGATCAGATTTTAACTATCTGAAATTTTACTTAATAGGAGCAGCCATGTTTTTGTTCTTTATGGTGCTTGGTGGGAACTTTTTGTTGACATGTTCAAATTAGCAAATGTTTTCATTTCTAAGGCAGGAAAGAATTTCTCATTTCCTTTGGGTTTAGTTAAGTGTCATGTGACTTGAAAGTAAAGAATGTTCCTGGTATGGAAGTGTTAATTATGCCCAATTATACCCTGACTGACCTTCCTTGGCATTAAACAACCTAGCAAAACTAGCTTTGTTCTGGCAACCTGGAGATTCCTTCCCTCTCGTGCATGTGTCTGATTCAATAGTTCTCCTTTGTCGTAATAGCCAAGTAGTCAAGAATGCATAAATGGATCCTTACGACAGAATTCCACTCTCTCTTTCTCCCTGTGGGTGTATTCACCTCTGGATAATTAAAGGAACATAGTCAAGAGAGAAATATTTTAAGAGTCCTTATGTGCTATTAGTAACATCTTATTAAAACTAAAACAGAATTTCAGAAATGTAATTGGCTTTTTTTACTAATGATACTGAACCTAGGCTGGTCAGTTTCATTTCCTGATGCTTGGCTGGCAGGATGATTTTGTTTGAAGCAAAGCAATGGAATGTTTAAATTCTTAATGCACTCTTTTAATTGAATTGCTGTTAAATGAAAAGTAATGGAGATATTTCTGTTCATTATAGGTTTCATAATTTTCCCAATGGCCACCCATTTTCAACCTATCCTCCCCAAAAACAAAAACAAACCACATATGCTGCACATTTTTTTTTGGAGGGAGGGGAGAAGAATTAGTAGCCATGCCTACTGCAGTGTAGAATCCAACACTAACTGCCACAACAGATTTTCAAGATACACTCTTGACTGAGTTCATTCAGTCTTCTTTGACTGCAGAGATGGTGGCTGGAGGGAGAGGGTTGTGAGGAAAAGGGGGTGAAGTGTAAAGGATCCATAGAAAGATCCTGGGGAACACAGAGTATCCTCATGAAAGCAGTGTTGGGGATGAATATTTTTTTGCAATAGCCATTGGGGAGAGCAATTTAACCTGAAAGAATTACAACTGTTTCAAAGGGATTTATAGTCTTTTGTAGTCTGAAGCTCTGAGATGATTCAAAAATAAGTGTAACTCCACAAGTTAAGAGGATCCAATAGTGAGGTTACATATTAATCTACTATGCTACCTTTTCTGGGGGATGCTTTAGGATGAAAGGAAAATGGGAACAGATTAATTGGGCCAGACCTTTGGCCAATCTAGTCAGTTACCTTTTCTCTCCCAATGGTGATGCTGGTGGTTAATTATCTAAAAGACTGGTGCATGCTCTCTTTCTCTTTCGCTGACTTATCATCCATTTGTGTTCACTCTGAACCCAACTGTCCTGAAGGCAAAGCTTGCAAAAGATGGAAGCAGGCTATTTTCAGTAGTGGTTCACATTTCTGGAGTTTATTCCCCCAAGAAATGTCTCTTACATAGATGCATCTAGAACACTTTGCAAGACACGTTTTTATT